ATAAGGAAATCTCAATAACTATTACTTTAAAATCACGGCAAATGTTAATTCACGCAATAGTTCTTCAAATAATTGAACACAAATATTTTAACATTTATGTTATCATACTTTTTATGTGAAAACATAGAAAAGTTTTAAAGTATTCAAAAAACAAGAATATTAACTGTGACTTAACACTACGGTAATACTATTTACACATTTAAATTTAGATTCACATAACTATTTAATAACAAATGTCTTATCATTGTTTATTAAACAGATTGGTGATGAAATTTTGTTTAGATAATAATTATTTATTTAAAATGAAGCCTACAAAATACTGTATATGTACCGGTATTAAATCAATAATAAACCAATAGCCAGATAACAATGTATTGAACATTAATTTTCCAAAGAATGTCTATATTTGGGACAACAATTTCTTTTTGATATCGACTCATAATAATTATTTCACGAATTTATTGTTGCATTCATTTCCTTCAAATTTCATATAAATTCGTTCAATAGTTTTTAAAAAATAACAGTACAAATGATTAAATACAAGATAATTCAAAGTTTTGTGTTTTTATTTCTTATGATAATTAGTGTCTATGACTGCAAAGAGCATAACTATACGAATGACAGAACTCAAGCCATTCCGTGAGTCTATGAATGAATAACAAATAAAATTTGATTCAAATGTTTTGAATTGATATTCAGTACTATAAAGAAATTGTCGCCTCAAAAGCAGATTCATATCGCAATCGGAGGTAAAAACAATTACTTGTGGTATCTCTTTTATCCTTTATGTTATGTTCAGATGATTTGTCACAAATGGTGATCTTATGGAGTGAGAAAAGACAAACCAATAAGACTGCAGTCACTTATGGCTTATATAATGGAGACTACAACCACATCCAGACCGGCTATTCCGAGCTTTTGAAAAATGATAATAAGTTACAATATATACATAAATGGTTATAATCGGAAACAAATGTGATCTCCAAATGAAAAGGGAAGTGAACTCAGAAATAGCCGATGCGTTGGCCATTGACTACGGACTGAAGCATTTCGAGACGAGTGCTAAAGAGAATATAAACCTCGAAAAGGCTTTCTTTCAGATTTCTAAAGACATCTATAATGAGGTGAAACTGTTTGCCATTCATATCATGCATTCATTTGTCTAAAACTCTTTTCTTATTTCTATAGAAATGTTTGAGAGGTGAGGAAAATGGTGTTACATTACCACAAGCCGAAGTGAAAAAAGGCAAGACCTACCGGTGCTGTCAAGTCAATATTAATTTATAAATTAACATTTTTATTTATTATTTTTATTGTAGTTATTCTTTGTGTTGTATTGATTATAATTGTCAATTTTACATAAATGACATATAAACATGCATATTATATAAGTTATATTAACTACGTAAATATAAAAATATACTATAATTCAATATACGAAATAGAATAATGTCATGGAATATTTTTATCATGTCTTAATTTTAAAGTGAATTTTACTCAATAACTTTACTGTACTTATGATTGACGTTTTTGTAATTTTTAAATTTAATATAATTGTAAAATAAATATTTATTATTAATAATAACATTTACTTTATGATATTCAAACCTATTCATACAGAATAAGTATAAGTACTTTAAAAGTATGTAGGAGTTTTTATTGGTTCACATTCAAAGGCATTCATTTGTTCTCAATATTCCTTTAGAGTTATTGATAATGAAATTTTAGTGCCGTTTACAATTAAGTGCGTTATCAAGAAGTTTATTAACTTGTGTTTATAAAATTGTAAATACAATAGTATGAAAAATACACTTTTGTATCGAAAGTTTTAAAGTATTCAAAAAACAAGAATATTAACTGTGACTTAACACTAATACTATTTAAACATTTAAATTTAGATTCACATAACTATTTAATAACAAATGTCTTATCATTGGTTATTAAACAGATTGGTAATCAAATTTTGTTTAGATAATTATTTATTTAAAATGAAGCCTACAAAATACTGTACATGTACCGGTATTAAATCAATAATAAACCAATAGCCAGATAACAATGTATTGAGCATTAACTTCCCAAAGAATGTCTATATTTGGGACAACAATTTCTTTTTGATATCGACTCATAATAATTATTTCACGAATTTATTGTTGCATTCATTTCCTTCAAATTTCATATAAATTCGTTCAATAGTTTTTCAAAAATAACAGTACACATGATTAAAAACAAGATAATTCAAAGTTTTGTGTTTTTATTTCTTATGATAATTAGTGTCTATGACTGCAAAGAGCATAACTATACGAATGACAGAACTCAAGCCATTCCGTGAGTCTATGAATGAATAACAAATCAAATTTGATTCAAATGTTTTGAATTCATATTCAGTACTATTAAGAAATTGTCGCCTCAAAAGCAGATTCATATCGCAATCGGAGGTAAAAACAATTACTTGTGGTATTTATTTTATCCTTTATGTTATGTTCAGATGACTTATCACAAATGGTGATCCATACCTCACTCTTTTCTGTTTGGTTATTCTGACGTCAGTGAATACCGAATATATTACCTCTGATGTTGGTGTAGGTCTGGCCGATAAGGCTCGAAAACTTTTTACTATTATTCAATGTTATATATGTTTATGTAACCCTTCAGAATTTAAAGCCTAATATGAAATACAGTATGTCTTGAGATAGTCTTATATGTTATTCTGAAAAAACAATATAATTGATGAGAAATGAATGGCTAGAATACAGAGTGGGTTCACCTCAGTCTTGGAGTGAAGAGCACTCGTTTAAGACAATGAGAACTGATGCCAATTGGGTACCAAAAGTGGTCATATTTGGTGACATGGGATGGATTAAAGGCTATTCAATACCAAACTTGCAGAAAATGGCAGAGAAATATGCAATGGATTTAGTCATACACATTGGTATTTAAATGAATGCTAATTTTATACTATTAGTACTAGTACAGTATTAGTAATGGATATATTAATTGACAGGTGATATCGCATATGAATTATACACATTCAAAGGCACACTCGGCGATGGATTTCTCAAAGCTATTGAACCGATAGCCACAAGAGTCCCTTATATGGTTATACCCGGAAATCATGAATATTATTGTTATCGCGATCAGTAAGCATGAGTCCTACAGTTTTATCCAATAAATTAATATCGTTTATCATATTTAGAGACTTAGGCTATAATTATAAGCGTCGATTCAAAATGCCTCAGAACACGGACAATGAGTATTACACAATGAAAGTGGGCAAGGCACTTTTTGTAGCCTTTTCCACGGAATACTATTTCCGAATAGAGAACGGAAGCAATGAAAAGGTGTTAAAACAGAAACTATGGTTAGAAAGGGTGCTCACAGAAGCCAATCTGCCCCACAATAGAGCTAAGCAGCCATGGATTATAGGACTGGGACATCGGTCACTGTACTGTTCAACTACTGATTCCAGCTGCATTAATGGCATGACTATTGATGTAATTGACACATTTTTATTGAAACATTTTAAAGTTTAAATGATTTTCTCGGATGTGACAGACGGGTGACACCAAAACTAAAATGATTGAATTGGAAGAAATTCTGCACCGACAGGGAGTGGACATTGCCTTTTGGGGACACTATCACTATTATGACAGATTTTATCCTGTTTATAATCGAACGGTATTCTACTGTAGAAATTTGCAATATGATAATATAAATTATAATTGGTTAACATTTTAGATGCAAAACTCAAGTAATCCATACGTGAATCCTTTCTCAACTGTCCATATATTAAGCGGAGCGGCTGTAAGTCATTCGTAAATTTTTATATTTATATAAATTATAGCTGTTTTAAAATCATTTCTAATTGTATATACTGTATATATATTTGTTTTTGTAATTTATTTTTATTTTTATTTCACTTTAAGGGTATGGATGGCGACCCCACACCAGAGAGGTTTGTAGACCCGCCTCCCTTGTGGTCTGCGTTCAGAACCATAGAGTTTGGATATTCTGTTATGAATGTAGTGAACGATTCACACGTTTATATCAAACAAATTAATATAAATGAAGTAAATGTTTAATACTGTTATTTGAATTATAAGAAATTATATTAAATGATGTCTTATTTATAGCCACAAAAGCCAATCGACTCGATATGGATAGTGCAACACAATCATCAAACAAGAACTTCAGACAATAAATGCTCTGTATAAATCCTATTACAACAATTTTTTAAAGTTTCTAAATGTATCATAAATTACAATTTATTAATAAATTTACAAATTTTATTATGTAAATTACAATTTGTTAATCAATTTACCAATAATTGTATTAAATATAAATTATAGTAATTTAGAATACAAAGTATTACACGATATTGCTATAAGTTATTTGGTGGTGTTGACAAGCAAGTACAAGTAATACACTTTTACTAAGACTTTATTTACAAAGACTTTACAATATTTACAATGACTTCATTGTACAGTAATTTATAATTTATTTATTAATATTTTATATTACGGTAGCTATCTTTGAAATGCAATTGAGTAAAGTTAAAAGAATTGAATAAGGATGCGATAATAACACTCTTTTATCTCGCACAGTTATTTATATATGAACACATCTTAATTAAAACTATATTTCAAAATAGTTAACATTATTTAAGAATATTAACAAAAACAAATTGCAATAGAATCGATACAAATAAACATAAGCATTTATTTGATTTAATTAGTCAACGAATTGAAAAATAGTAATTAAATGTGAAAACAAACGGAAAATGTTTGAACACTAACACAAACTGATCGGTGTCTGTTTCATAAACTTTTACAACTATTTTATTTAAATATTTTTATTAGATTTAAATATTCAATAAAATCATATTTATCATTAATAGTATCAAGTAATCAATAACTTATTTGTGTAATATGATATTGTATTTGTTTACTGGTGTAATATCTTCAAAAATACTCACAAGTTAGACGTTCCCGTTCATTTGAATATTTATGTAAAATTAATTTATGAGATCTATTACTAACACAATAATTATGCAATTTTAAAATGCAATCAATTCTATCACAGCACTTATAATTTTTTGGTCAATTTTAAACTTATTGACGAATAACATTGTTAAAACTACAGTAATTCTGAAATAATAATTAAAAATGAACTTTTTCAAACTAAAATGACTTTTCAATTCGAACTTTTACTTTCGGATGACATCAAAGACAAAAGGCTTGAGTTATTAAATATTAAATACAATACCTTTTATTGCATTTGTTTATCTTATAATATTATTTCATTCCTAAAATTTATTGCATTTTATTATCTTGACTATAAACTAATTATTTGAGAAATGTTTTTCTAAGAATAAGCGTATAAATATGATTTGGGTTTCATTCATTAATATTTGATAACTTTGAAACATAATGAAACAGTTATTTTTAAAAATTAAATTGTGAATAACAGTTCTTAAGCTATTCTTTAAAATTAGCAATTAGATTTTTATGATTTGAAAATGTCTGAAACCGAAGTTTCAAGAGAAAAGTTTACCAATAAATTTGAATATTTCTTGACTTCATTGAGTTATGCGGTGGGCTTAGGAAATGTTTGGAGGTTTGTATTGATGCCAATTATATTTCCGTAAAAATTATGATTGTATTAAAATCTTTAAACAGATTCCCGTATTTGTGTTTTAAGAACGGCGGAGGTTTGTCTCAATTTTATGGCAAAATTCATTGTGAAAAACAACTCAAACTATTTCCTAATTTTTAGGCTCCTTCTTGATACCATACCTCTTAAGTCTAGTATTGATTGGATTCTCATTCTTTGTATTGGAATCATCTTTGGGACAGTTCTCAAGTGAAGGCCCAATGACTGGTATTTAACATAATAAATATATTTAACATTTAAAAACTAATAATTTATACGTTTATAAAGTATGGAAAATATCGCCACTATTTAAAGGGATTGGAGTTGCCATGTATTGCTTTCAGTTGTATTTGTGAAAAAGTTTATGTAATTTTTAATGTGTTAAATGTTAAAAGGTTTGTGATGAACACATACGTTGGAATTTACTACAACATGGTAGTGGCCTGGGCTATTTATTATTTGTACGCCACATTCACGGCACTACCAGACCTGCCATGGACTAACTGCAATAATACCTGGAATACTGATGGTAAGTATGCCATAAATTTCTATAAATTATAACAAATAGATTTTTAATACTGAGTGCAGACTGCCATTCATTGTCTAAAAGCGAATCCTATGATGAAAATAGGACTCTCATTAGTCCGAGCGAAGAGTATTTTCAGTGAGAGATTAGATAAATAATTAAATTGCTTTAAATTACAATAACTAATGACATATTTGATTAATATTTAAAAGCAATCACGTGTTGAATATGAGTGACGGCATCGACAACTTGGGTCAACTCAACTACCATTTGGTCATATGTCTGGCCATTGCGTGGATTCTAATGTTTTTAAGTATTTCCAGAGGTGTCAAAGGATTGGGGAAAGTGGCCTATTTTACAGCTATTTTCCCGTATATTATGATAACAATACTATTAGGAAGGGGTGCATCTCTGGAGGGGGCAATCAATGGCGTAAAATATTATTTAATCCCTGAGTGGGAAAAACTGAAGGACATTGGTGTTTGGTCGGACGCCGCCTCACAAATATTCTTTTCCCTTTCCATATGTATGGGTGGAGTGATCACTCTCTCCAGTTATAATCCTTTCAAAAATAATTGCCTCAAGTAATTAATCTTTAAAATGAGCATACAATTAATATTAATTTTAATGTTTGAACAATTATTCTGTAGAGATTCACTTATAATCGCTGTTTGTAATTCACTGACCAGTATATATGCAGGTTTTTATTTTTAAATAATTCTTATATTCTTGAGTTAATTCTTATATCTTTAAATTAAATAAAGGCTTTGCAATATTCAGTGTCATTGGATTTATGGCAACAGATTTGAACAAACCTATCGCAACTGTAGTTGACCAGGGTAAAAATTAAGTAACTTTGTATGACATTTAAAATTTTTTATAAGTATATAAATTGGTTAAATAGGTGTTGGACTGGCATTCATAGCATACCCATCAGCCCTGTCATTATTACCGGTGGCCCCTCTCTGGTCGTGTCTATTCTTCCTAATGATCTTAACTCTAGGTTTCGGCAGTGAAATGACTCTCATTGAAGCCATTGTTGTGACAATTGTTGATCAGTGGCCACAACAGCTCAGACACAGAAAAATCTGGGTCTTAGCGGGTGTTTGTATGACCATGTTTTTATCCGGACTTTTCATGTGCTCTAATGTATGTTCAATTCAATCATTATTTAATGTGAATTAATACAGAATGTTATTATCAATTATATTAATAAAAGGCTGGAATCTATATTCTTCAATTAATGGATACCTATTGTGTACCATATTCTGCACTATTTATAGCACTGTTTGAAGTAATAGCCGTCGCATGGGTTTATGGTATCAACAGATATATGGAGGACATGAAGAAAATGTTAGGTTTCTATCTATTTCCGCGACACTATTGGAAATTTATATATCAATACTTTTGTCCGCTTGTCATCGCTGTAAGTTTCGTATCCAGCAAACTTTAATAATGCTTTTACTAACTTAAGGGTGTTAATAACACATTCGTAGGCCCTCCTTATACTGCAATTTGTGTTCAAGACCCCAACCAAATATGGCATCTATGAGTTCCCCGTATATTCCGAAGCTATTGGTTGGATACTAAGTGTCTCATCAATAATATTCATACCTATATTTGCTTTTTATCAAATATTTACAACAGGACTTCCATATATTCAGGTATTCAAAGCATCAATTTAAATATTGTGGTCTTTATATTTAATGTTTTACAATATTTTTATAAATAAAGTCTGTGAAATCATTAATACAACCGGACCCGGACTGGTACAAAAACATTAATTCCAGTGGTGGTTCCAGTGGAAAGGCGTATCAAGAAAGTGACCAAATTATGTCCATTTAATTGATTTATTTATAAAGCATTTTTAAATAATTTTGTAATTATATTTAAATGGCCAATTTTATTATTAAAATCTATTAATTTAATTTATTTATATTTGAATAAAACATTATTATTAATAATTTATTATTCTAAGATAGCAATTATACATTAATAACAATTTATAACAAGTTCATTAAAAAGTGCTCATGTTAGGATTGTAAAATATAAAATATTTTGTTTATGATAAGGGAATACAGTGTTGAACTTTCATTGAACACCAAAACCGTAAAAATGAGAATTAAAATATTTATAGAAGCAAGGTAATCACATTTGTTGAATAGGAATTTAGATGCTATTGATACAATGTGGAAATTAATTAAATACTGAGAATATTGTAAGCATAGTTGAATTCACGTGGTTTTAATTAGATTTAAATGATTAAAAATGTTAATTTATTCAACTGTTGGATGAAATGAGTGACCATAAAAAGTACAAAGAATATACTGTCGATGAAGTACTGAAACACAACACCAAAAAATCCCTTTGGATTATAATAAGAGACGAAGTGTTTGATGTGACAAAGTTTGTGGACAGCCATCTATGAGTGACCATAAAAAGTACAAAGAATATACTGTCGATGAAGTACTGAAACACAACACCAAAAAATCCCTTTGGATTATAATAAGAGACGAAGTGTTTGATGTGACAAAGTTTGTGGACAGCCATCCCGGCGGTTGTGATCCCATTATGAACTTCGCGGGAAAGGACTCGACCACTGTTTTCGTAGGCAATCATTCAGACGACGCGGAACATATGAAAAATCAGTTCAAAATCGGTGTCATTAAGAGAACATGACTTCAATAAATATAAAAATAATACATTTCATACAGTTTTATAGAGTTTAACATAACTTAATAACTATTATACAAACAATTTTTTGAATAAATATCGATTAAAACATTTATACTTTAAATAGTGTATAATTTGTTGACAAGAATATATTAATATATTTAATATGTTAGTATTATTTGCGATTAACTTCTGATTGTAAATCACTCTGAATTTGTTCATAACTGGGCGGCGGTTCATAACTGGGAGGCATAACCGGCACCGGACTGCTGAATGGTCTGTTGTTCCCGGAGTGGGCTGTTGTTCCATAATTAGGTTCAGTCGGTCGGCTGTTATCCCGAATAAAAGCCCTGAAGTTAGAAATGGTTGAAATGTGGACGGAATCGTCCGACGAATTGGCGTTTCTTCGTCTCCTGATCGCACTTTGCGAACAAGTGATCCGTATTATCCCGAAGATTATGAGTACACCACTTATGCCACAAAGAGTTATCAATAGAACCGAAGATATGGCACCAAATGCCAACTTTGCCACAACCGTCACAATTAATATACAAATGCCAAGTCTTAACATAGATTTTCCCAAATAATAGAAATCGCGGTGATATCACAAAGAGTTATCAATAGAACCGAAGATATGGCACCAAATGCCAACTTTGCCACAACCGTCACAATTAATATACAAATGCCAAGTCTTAACATAGATTTCCCCAAATAATAGAAATCGCGGTGATATTTATCATTATCTAACACTGCAGCTCCCGTACCACTCGCACCTCCATGTCCTCTGGTATCAACACTCGAAGGGACTGACATCTTATTATGGCTCAAATAATTCTCATAACTTCTGAACTATTTACGGTATATAACAGGAATGTCTGAATTATGAGATTTATATCAGATATGTGTGAATACCAGGGAAACTAACACATATGAGTGCAGTCGTGACATAACAACTAATACTTATTTGTATTTTCACTTATCGCTTATCAACAGATCTCTAATACAAACCATTATTACATGAATATAATTGAAGTTTTATTTGAACACCGGATCGGTTTGCAAACCTCACAAATAAACATAAATATTAGATTAACGACTAATTCTGGGAATACAGTAATAGTAAGAATATTTCGATCAAAACCTAATTTTATTAATTATACAAACAATTTAAAGCCATTTATAATCGAAATTTTTTGAGTCAATCAATCACTAGATATTTAAGATTCAAATCAATTGTAAACTATTTTCTATAATAATTTGTTTAGAGATGTCTACAGAAGCGGTGTTTATGTCCACTTGTCGGGGAAGAAGTAGTCCTCCCACTGCTTGTAGTGTCTGTGGGCGTACCACTCGGTCACGTGTACGTCCGGCAGAGCTCCGGGAGGTAGTGTCGAGTAGATGGGTCTACCCCATAGAGTACCCACTTTCCAGTCGGGCACGTCCTTCATGAGCTCCCGCTCCACTTCGCGGTTATATCGCATGTGCCGTAAGTATCTGCGGGATCAACGAAAAGACACAATCAATGGTTGGCGTAATGAGTGGTGAGGAGTGGGTCCTAACGCGCGATCCCTTTCCGCCTGAAGGAGTGGTTCGATGGCATTGTAGTGATCAAAGCGCTCGACCGACAACTTTCCCATATATCTCTTGCGGCGCTTCAGATAATACACGGCATAACAGGTCATCCCGATGTGCATCGCCATCAGCGACCAGTCTATCACCGCAAACAGATATCCATTAGTGACCATTAGTGACCATTCAGTGATAATCGCGTATTTGATACATACTTTTGAAGAGTTTTTGTGGTATAACTCGAGTGAAGTGGATCTCCGCGTACCCGCCCTTCGGCGGCATCTCCTGTTTGAATCCATTGGCTGTAGTCATGATCTCTTCATCTGATGGCTAATCAGATCCCGATTTAGGTATCAATTTGTGTCCAAAATATTGTCTCGTTTTCAGTGAATGTATTTGTTTTGCATTCAATTCAGGGATCGACTCGTAATTGAGACCAAAATGTTTGCCACAAATGGTTCACATTTTGAGCCATAAATTGCATGTAATTTATGAATGCATTGAAAAACACATTGTTTTGTGATTTTTGTCATTTAATTTTGAAATCCATTTAAAAGTATTGAAAGTATTGATCAAAACTCGAGTCATATTTACGCGAAGAATGGGTAAAAAAAAGATGTTTTTGGATCTCAAGAACAAAGTGTCTTCAGATGAGAGCGATTCCGACGACTTGTCAGTGGATTCGGACGAAGAGCTGCAGAACGCCTTCCAGAGGGGAGACCTGAAGCCCGGACTCAACCAAATGGTGGCCTTAAAGCCATCTGAAGAACACATTTACGACAAGACGGCGCTGAAGACAAAGTTGGATCAAATGAGACTCAACTTGGATTGGATCGAAAGACTCGACTCGTCGGACAACCCGTCGAAAGTGACTCCAGAAGTGCAGCAAATGTTTGGAAACATAGACTTAAAGCTGAATAAAAAGGGCGAAATCAGTGCCGAAGAGGTCCAGAATTTGGACAAAAGTGATAACGACTTCAAACGCGAAATGCTTTTCTATAGGAGGGCTCAGACGGCAGTCCTGGAGGGCATCCCGAGACTCAATCGACTCCGAGTGGTCACCAAAAGACCCAACGATTACTTCGCAGAAATGGCCAAAACTGATGACCACATGAAGAAAGTGCGCGAAAACATAGTCAAAAGACAGACAGCAATGGATGCGTCAGAGAAGGCGAAGAAGATGAGAGAACTGAAGAAATACGGGAAGAAAATACAGACAGAAGTACTGATCAAACGCCAGAAGGAGAAGAGAGAAATGATGGATCGGCTCAAGAAGTATAAGTCGGGAAAAGAGGATAATTTGGATTTTCTGGACGGAGAGGGAGGCGGCGCTCAGAAGAAGAGTATTCTGAAGAATGGAAGTGAGAAGCAGTCGAAGAGGAGTCAACAGAAAGCGAACCAAAAGCAGAAATACAAGAACTCGAAGTTCGGTTACGGAGGACAGAAGAAGAGATCCAAATACAACACTTCCAGCAGTTCTGCGGATATGACGAAATTCAGTCGAAGGCGTCACTCGAAGCCATCGAACGGCAAACCACGACCGGGAAAGTCGGTCCGACAGAGGATGAAGAGTAGGAGTAATTGATGGATGTATTGACTCTTATGTTGAAAATTATATTTTATAAATAAATTCATTTTTATTCGTAATTTAATGAATTTAAATCAGTTTTATTGGACAAAACAATCGTATTTTTACAAAACATTAACATTGAATAAAATACACTTTTGAGTGCATTCAGTGAATGAGATTTATTTGGATTTTTACGTTAGTACGGTATATGATAAAAATGAAAACGAAAGTATGAGTGAAACGATTAAAAGACGGTCTCATTTGCCACGAATGGCCGGACATTCAAAGTCAATAATAGCGAACTCGTTGTCGTGATGGGGACCCTTCGTGCCGGTGATGCGAATCCATCTGACAGGACGTCGACTTCGCAAGTGTATGGTCTGCCACGAAGACTTCCTCACGAACGAGTCGTTGTTATTGTCTTTTATGAGACAATACTCCTCTTCGTCTTCGCTTTTGATCTCAACCCTGAAATCATAGGTTCGCTTGTCTTCGTCCCACAAGTGGAACCGGAATGAGTCGATGAGACAGGGCTGCGACAGGAAGAACTCGAGGAAGTTTCCGTCGTTTATATTATGATAATAATAGTGTTCGCCCTTATCTTTGGCCGAAGCAATGGAAGTACAGTAAGTATAGCTCCCGAGTTCGGTGTCGAACACGTATTTGGTGTTCTTGATGGGGAATTTGATGACATCGTGTTTGGGGACCAGATATGTGGTGTCTTTGATGGTCTGAAACTCGAGCTCAATGTTGGATCGTTTGCAGAGCACGTGTTCATCCTTGAGGTCTCGCATATTGAAGGGCGGGTCCGACGAGTCGGTCAGACAGAAGCGGATGTATTTGATCCGTCGCTCCTCAAAGTAAACCCAATTCCAGAACTTGCTGTAGATTTCGGTGTTCTTGAGAACAGTCGTCCAGTTGTTTCGGTCTGAGGACACGCTTAAAGTGAAACAGATTTCTGTGTCTTCGGGCAAAAGAAAGTGAATATAATTCATAAACCGATTTCTGTCCAAAGTATAGGTCAACACATTGTTGGCATCTTTGCTCTGAACATCTCTCTTGAGGAACAGCCGATTCAGTTCAACGCTCTTGTCGTCCAAATACTTGGCGCACGCCTTCAACAGGTCCTTATTGTCGGCGCTCTTCCCGATATGATACAAGTCATCGACGGTCGCGACGCTAAGACACTGAGCCTTGTATTGCGCCAACTGTTGGGCCAGCGTTGCCACCAACGGGTGAAACTTGAGTTTGTGGGCAGTGGTGGCCAACTCTATACCAGTGCTGAGATCGCACTCAACGATTCCGGTGTAGATGTAGACCAGCAGTTGTCTGAAGGCGGTCACAGTTGTGCCGCTCATCTGAAAGATGTTCGCCTCCGACGTGTTCTCCATTCGCGCCATTTTGCGGTCCCTTTCGATGGCATTCTTCACGAGTTGGCGCTTGTCCTTCAAGATCTCGATGACGGGTCTGTGGGCCGGGATCTCCTCGTTCTCCACAATAAACTTAATGTCTGTCGTCTCGTCCGACAGCCTCTTGTTGGTCAGCAGTTGCTGATGGTATGCGTAGTCGTCATGACGTGTGTGGTCTATGAATATCAACTGCTGACCCATTTTGGCAGTGTTGCACTTCTTGTGACTACTTCGTGGAGACCCAAAGTCCGCACCTGAAGACCGTTTAGACATTACTGTGAATGCAGTGGTCAATTGGGTGACAATTGGGTGATAATTGGGTGACAATTGGGTGATAAATCAGTGATCGGGTAATGCTTTTGTGCTCAAATGCAATTTCACATTCAAATCAAAACAATACTGACCCTAAAAGGGATTATCTATTCATTGCACTCGCATTGCAACACTCATCACAGAATTAACCGGTAATGTCAGGAATAATTAGTTTTTACATTGCATTCATAAGTACCTGTAATTAATTTTTCTGTTTAATGAATCCAACGGTTTACTGTTTAAAAAAATGTTACTTTATAAAAAGTATGTTTAATAAACAGAATTTAAATGATGAATGCTTTCTCTACTGCAGAAATCCTTGTAAAGCATGAGTTCATGTGAACTTTGATACTGAGGTCCCAAAGCTAACACACTATTTGCTTTGAATTGGGAGATAATATCGAGGAATAATGAGCTAGCTTAGACTTAAATCAAAGTTTATTGTGCTTTCAGTGCTTAAAAACAATGAGATGTCTTGTATTTATTGTTCAATTCGTTTTTCATATATTTTACAAATATTATTATGACAAACATTTTATGCAAATAATTAAACAAAAATAAATAACCAAATTAAGAGTTAATGATAAAAAATTCAGTTAAAAAATAATCAACTTGTGTTAAAAAAGTAGCACAAAATCTAATTACAGTTTATAGACACCTAATGCTAATACTGTAGTATTAATAAACAGTATTAAAGTACCGGTAAATCTTTAAACTTCTAATACATCGGATGTAAAGACTGCGTGCACTCTACACATCATATCAATTAATACTAAATTTGTAAATATTTTCATTTCAGTAATACTTTGTGAAATTGCTTTCCTTTCCTATGTTAAAAATATATGAAACTACGGTATAAATTAAACCCATATTTTAAGCCAAACTACTGCCCAAAGGCTCGTCTGAAGAATTATTAGTTCGAGTTTTCTCTTTGCTATCGTATCGGACAATAACAGCATCTCCGGCAACATTGACCAGACATTGAGCCTAAACACACATGAATCCAAATATTATAACCAATTCACATAAACACTCAATTATAACCTGATTTTTATGTGGATTATAGAGTAGTAGGAGTTGTGTGATGTGAAAGGATGTCATTGCATTGCCTCCCAAAGAGGACACATGTGAGCGAACCATTGCGAACACTTCGGTCAGAAAGCTATGAATAAATCCACTCAAACCACCGAACTATTCAAATACAATGTAATGTTAACATTATTGCTATAATAGATACACCAGAAGTCATACTTCTCTGATGCTAGTGCTCTCTCTAATGAAGAAAAAGTCCAGATTTCCTAAATAGTTATCGATTTGACCGCTCGGTATATAAGAAAGTGGAGTCAACTCAATACCAAAGTGTTCATTGGTTGCAGTCTTTTATAAATACAATTAATTTTAATCTTATATCAAAATTAAAGATATATTTTGTGGTTTACATGATATGGCGCTCCCGTTGGGGATATGTTTTGTACATTTTGTTCATTCATTTTTTGTTCGCCGATCGCATCCATTGTGAACATAAGGTCTGTGTCACCGCTCTCTGAAAGTAACACCAATTCAATGAATTTTATTAAACAATACAGAAAATAATTATTAAATCAAATACCTGTAGGCTTCCTACTCCTACTAATGTGCTTCATAGGAGGGCCGATACCAATGGCAGTGCCGACGACTGTTATTTGTACCAAATCTGCTTCCGGTAAATCAACCCTGAATTTCAAATCCGTTAGACAACAGGGAATAAGTCGACGAAATTTGACAAAAAGACTCTAAAGAATGAAATTATTAATAAAGAGAAGCAATTGTAGTGATTGCGGACACACCTGTATAACCCAATCAAACTGATGACCGAACTGTTTGATTGAAGTGAGTTTAGCCCTATAGACCTGAGAAAACATCTGCAAATTGCACACCAATTGGCTCTGCATTCCCGGCAAACATTCACTGTTGCAGACCTTGGATACAACTCTCAATTAATTTCAATTCTATTCATTTGAACAGTTTTTACTTCATATCCTTTGGGGACGTCTGAGTCAATCATCAGAGATATAATGTCTGCGTCTTCGGTGTCGTCCACTTCCAAGAGAACACAACTCTCTTTATTTCCATTGTTTAAGTCTATCTTCGGATTGAAAATGCTGTCCATAATAGCATCATTGGAGTCGTCATTATCATCGTCTTTATCTTCAATAACGTTGACTCCGTTTTGGGCGGAATTATTGTTACCAGAAGTGAAGATATTATAGTGTTCTCGGTTTCTGGCAATACTCTCCATTATTAAACCCTGAATTTCATTCAGTTTGGAACATTGGATCCCTTTCCCCGATGATATCTTTGGTGGCGATGGTGGCAGAAGTGGTGAAAGGAAGGCACCGGTACCCGTGGCCACAGCTATTAACATATTCTCTCCAAACGACACCTGAACTGATATGTTGAACAAACCGTTCATTCCTTTGACTTTCAGTTTACTCAACAGTTGTCGATGTAATTCGTATTCCAAGAACGGAAGTCCCTATCAATGAATCAATTATGCAATCAATACAACAAAAGTGAGTGATGTGTTGATAATTACATCCGAGAGTTCTTTAGCGCACTGTTCACCCTTTGACTCCTTTTTGGAGCGACAGACGCGCGCCTGTATGAGTGTCCCGTGACCTAAGATGGGAATGGCTTTCGGCGGCTCTATGGTCATGAAGAGCACGTCCGGCACTTTGGCTCTCTTGCAAATCATGCACTTGACTAGAGTGGCCGGGAATGGCACCGATGTCTCCGAGTATGGAATGTGACACAAATGACAGTTACTTTTATCGTCCAAATGATTTTGTGCCAAATTGATGTCTACTTTCAGCGCTTTGTTCGCAACATTTGGTTCGCATTCAATAATCGTCTCCTTTTTGTCACTCACGGAAGAAATGTTTGCGTTTGTCATCAAATTAGAGATGTGTTCGGAATCACCAGTTTTGAGGACAGCGGCCGTACCAGAGGCCGACAGAATGCATATCTCATCACAAATATGAGTGGATTCCGTATAACCCAAGACTGCATTACAGGCCAGCGCTCTGTTGTGCGAACGAATTTCTTTCCTTAATTCAGTCCACCAAACGTCTCGAGTTTCCGGATCATCCGGATTATTGATTTGATCTAATCGTTCAGTAAAGTCAGTATTTCGAGCAACGATTTTGGTTAACAATTACCTAATAGTTTGACAGAACGGGCGGAAACAACTCCTCCGATATGGAGGATAAGGTTTGATGGGAACGACTTCATTGTGATGAAGGGGTATTCCTTTCAAATAATACAAACGTTTTCAGAATATTTCAAATAAATTCATCAATTCTTACTAAAAGATGAAGACTTTCGGGTGAAATAATGTATTTACGACCAGAACTTCCGCTTCCACTGGAATTACTCAGTCCTGAGTGGCCCTTAGGAGCGGATCCGCTCAGATCTGGTTCTGAAAGCCTTCGCTGGCCATAAACTCCTAAATGATTTGTTTTTGTCGGCGACAAAGCCTTATTGGGTGTCAATATAGGCGCCGTCATAGGAATAGGAGTTGTTCTTAAGGGCGGTGAAGAGGAGACCAAAGCATTGTCTTCGTTAGGATTTGGAGACCTACTCAACGAAACGGTACTGTAGTCATGACGGAGAGGGTTTGGTACGCAGGAGGTCGAGGGTAGCGTTACTGTGACGGGTTGGGACGCGACCCGCTTTAAGGGCTTAATTGGCTTATTATCGGTCACCGGAAGCGTAGTTTCAGCTTCAAGTGAAAGACCAATGACTGGCCGTTTCTTTTTCACTGACTGACGGATCAGTTTGAATATCGACGACGAGAATCTCGGAGAAGGGGAAGGGGTTCTATGGATTACTGGCGGAGAGGGGGTGGAAGAGTTTGACGACCAGTTGGGGTTTATTGAAACGGTTAGGTTCGACAGAAAGGCCACACCAATTGGAGCTATACGGCCGGGACTAGCAGTTCAGTGGTCAACGAGTTTGAGGTTTACATTACGGTTAGAGTCATGGGATAGTCATAACCAGACATTCGGACAGAAAATAGTGGTAATTATGGAGAGACAGAGAGAAAGAGAGACACAGAGAGAGAAACATCGGAATCAATGAATTGAATGATAGAAAACTTTTTAGACAAACAAATGGTAAGCAATGAAAAAGTAGCGACACTTTGGTTATCTAATATTTTCTAGGCTTTACTGTTAGGTTATGTTTGCAAATATTGAAATTTGTTTAATCAAACATTTGGTAATAATTTTGCGTTCAATGAATACATACTCTGAGAAGTTTGCGAATTGAGAGGAAAGAGACCCCAAATGATGAATGGATTCCACTTTATTGAGCAGAACTGCAGTTCCAATACCTCTGACCACAATCCCAGACTCGCCCTCCATATCGAAGTATTGCTGATAACTTTATATTACACAAGAATTGTAATGATTTAAAAATAAAATACTTTAAATAACACAAAACAATTTATTAAGCAGTAGAAGTAATATATTTTCTATATTTAACACATGATTAAAATGTAATGTGTAATAAAAATGATCACTTACTCTAATTTTAAAATAATTTTCTCATTCAATGCCAAACATTGTAAAGAATAACTCGCTATAAATTATAGTCTATAATATTACGGTGTAATAGTCATACGATAGCTTAATACTTTGAAAAACTCTATTACCAGTACAGTGCAGTACAGTATAACCATAGAATAAATAATTTTATATTAACACTAAACAATTAATTACAGGTAGTTATAGGCCAACAGAATTTGTATAATTTATAATTAAGATTATTACTCAATTGTTTTCAATAAGCTATACATTTGGTTAGCAATGATTCTTATGGTACACTCATATCCTATATTCAGAAACGATTCGTAAGTGAATGACAATTACCTGACGACAGCATTTCCGCCCAAATCGATGGCTTTAATACCGATCCTTCGCTGCACTTCACCGGAAATCTTGGAGAAGAGCGCCTGTCGGGCCTCATTGGAGGCTCGAGGGGTCCGGATCTTATCGATCCACTGATATTCCGGGTCGTGATTGACCACCAATTCCTCGACAAAGCCGAGAATAGCTTCGCACTCGTAGCCGAACGGAATGGCGGGTGAGTAGAAGAACTTGAATCCGCACGAAGACTGTCGGTATCGGTTGGCGTCGGAAAAGAGGGCCACTTTGACCACACAATTGATTTCGCCGCGAATGCCATGCATTGTGTCGTATATGGGAAACCAACCGCTCATCACATGTCGCGAGTCTTTGCTGAGCAGCGGATTCAAGTCGATGTAGATCTTGCCGATGGCGTCGTTCGCCGAATACGTGTCGTAATCCATGACCCGGATCTGTAAGGGCTCGTCCTGTAGCTCCTCGTCATCCACTTCGAAGCGGAACCACTCGCTGTTCCAGAAGGGGTTCAGCGATCGGCGATACACTTCCGTCTTGTATGTCGTGTTCCCTAACTTCACCTAAGGATCAGATTAGCAGACAATTGGGTGGTCAGTACGGGTGGAGTCAATGGATCCGTGAGTGGATGTGATCGACGGCAAGAGTGTGCAAACCTCGACGAAAGCGTCGGACGTGTCGCTGGACTTGTCCATCACCGGCAGATTACGTCCGGCCAACACCCGAACCTTCACCTTCCCGGGCATTGTGAGCACCAGTAGCTTATCATACGCCGGTGCCTCACATTTATGGCACAATTGCTGTCATTATAACCACTGAAACACTGAACACTTTTATTACCCTTTAATTTATTACATAATCTTTATTATTGTCAAAACAGTCGCGCAGTGCACGCATGCGTCCACTCAGACGTCATTCACACCACTGTATGCTGAGACACATTGACCGACCGATCATTACGGCTATCATTGCACTCAATATTCATATGAATATTAATATTAGCCATACTTTCCATCATTGAGTCCATCATTCATAAGACATACCATTAAGTGTTAATCATTTCATTCACACCAACACCTCATCTACCATTCAATTCACAACCATTTCCCTGAATATTATAGTTAACACTCACTGTCAGTATATTCATCTCAAGTACAGAATATTCTGTATATTCTGTCATAGGTCTAGACTAACAGCAAACTAGTATTATATGTTGAGGCATATATGCATTGATTCTAAGCTATAAGAATATTGTACTTGCTTCAATTTGTATTAATGACTATTCTTATTGCATATAAATTTATTAAAAATTTATTTCAACATAAACATTTATATTCGCGTTTATAATTAAATTGAGCAACAACTATTTATTATAACAGTTATAATACAAACATAACTGAAACTAATGTTTAATGAATTCAAACAAATACTGTCATTCAATACTACATTTGACACATAAGGCAACAAAAGTTTATCTAAATATACGTTGAATTAAGGAATTAATTGATTACAAGTGTATTAAGTCTACAATAATGTTATATAGATTAGACACATATAAAGTTTACATAATTTATATGAATATAAGTTATATTATATAACATTATTGTAGACTTAATAAAGTTGTAATCAATGAATTGCTGAATTGAATGTATATTTAGATAAACTGTTGCCTTATGTCGTGCTGTAAGTGTTTGTCTGTAATAATTGTCGTCTGAATGATCATCATATGTGACACCTGTATGAGTGTATGAGCGGTGAATGCATTGACAGTGAAAGCAGTGGTCGTATGAGTGGACGAGTAGTGAGTGATTGGAACATAACTGCAATGAGTAGTGAATGAGTGACCCATTGGTGACACTCTGACAGTGACTGACAGTTCGTGCGACACAAACATGTGGTCCGTGAAGATCCCGAAGGAGTTTCTCGACCGCAAGCATCTCATCAGCAATAAAGGTATGCATTCAGTCATCACTGCCATCACTTCCATGACGTGTCTGTGTGTCTGAAAAGCGTACAAAAAACTGATTCGCGAAGAGAAGAAGCGACAGCTCGCAGAGGAATACCTTCGAGGCTATGGTATCGCAAATGTGGATCAATTGCTGCAGAAATTTCTGCCCAAACCACTGGTGCTCGAGGAGGAGGTGCTCATCACCCACAGGGACGTCGGCATCGACTGCACCCTCGGTTCGTATGACTGACTCTCGGGCCAGAAGTGGTGATAGTGTTTGTCTGACTCTATGGCAGAGTGTCATCGCAAGGATCTCGTGTTTGAGGCCATCGTGGATGGGGTGAGGGATGCGGACGACGAGCGCCGGGATGAAGAACTCGGAGCAGAGGAGCGCAGGAATAGAGTGGTGGAGGGGGAGGGGGAGGAGGGGTGCAAGTCGTGGACCCATTTGGCGCTCTGCAACCAACTGAAGGCCACTTTCGGGGCACTGAAGCACGAGTTGAAGCGCTCTCGACGTGAGGAACGATTCTGGAGGAAGAGGTTGAAGAGCGTGGAGAAGAAGTTCGAGAGGAGTGTGAAGAGCGTGAAGAGGAGGCGCTGGTGTGTGGTCTGTAGGGGCGTCGCGAACAAGCAATACAAGTGTTGTGCAAAAGGATATTACTGTGGATTCGTTCACCGATTGGGACATAAACTGCATTTCATTGACTGCCAGAACAAGAAACCCAAGAAGACTATGAAGGCATTCGTAAGACAACCCTTCCGTCGGATGCGTGGAAAGTGAACTACCGTTCCTTACAGACTATGTCCACTCATTGTCTCATTCCGATTAATCTCTAACACATAACCTCTAATACTGTTATGTATTTCTCATTCAAGTTTTCATTTATTTTATTTCGCTTTTAGTTTTGTTTTTTAATGTTTTTTTGTTTATAAAACTGTTTATTATTTGATAATTTAATTACCGTAAATAAATAACTTAATATGAACATTCATTCGTACAATTGATTTTGGTTTAAACCAAAATAACAAATAAAACAACAAAACAGAGAGAGAGAGAGAGAGAGAGAGAGAGAGAGAGATGTGGGAGTGATTGTAAAGTTTGAGACAATTATTAATGAATTCAATATTCAATTATCAGAATTGTAAGAATAGCCCCAAATATGTGGTGTCGGATAACTGCAAAACGCCTACAATTCACTACATCTTTCACAACTAACTGCAAAACTTTTTACAGTTAATCTTAATTCATGTGTTGCTTACATGGAGTTATGCATTGATTAAATATTGATGGAAAAACTTTAATTTAATCAAAATGCTATTGAGAACCAGGTTTAGATTAAGTTTATTAGCAATATTTATAGCAATAATCTGTTGCTTATCGGACAATATTATCGATCCGTTTGACTCGCAGTGAGTTCTGAATGAATTTGAAAACTTGTAATCATTTATCTCATGAAATACTCTTCAGACCCAAAATAGTGGTAAGAGATGGTCACATAATCTTCGAGACGGCGCGCAATAAGAACATTACGTTCAGATCCAATGGCGGCGGAAGGATCACAGTTGACGGACAGGATATGACCAGAATCGCAGAGTTGGCCAAAGGGGCGAGTCTTGACGCGAATCCCATCACCGGTTCAAAGGTCACTCAAATGCAAGAGAGTTTGGATCAGTTGAAGACACAGTACTCTAATTTAGTGAATACTGTGGTCGAGATGAGGGTCCAACAGACGGCCTTCAATGACAGCACCAATAAAATTAATCAAATCCTCGGCACCGGTAGTAACGCACTGTCGCCGGCAACTGTTCGCAGAGCACTTCGAAAGATTCAACGAATCGATAGTTCCCTCAATCGGTTAACTCAAGTAAGCCTTCAGAATATCAATACTGTATAAGAATTATTGTAAAATATTATGAAAACTAAAATTATTGTGAACTAAAAGTGTTGTTAATTTTTGATATATCCTTGAATTGTGTAATACTTATAAATTTCGATAAATAGCTATTGGAAAAGGATGAGTGCGCCAGTAATCCATGCAGAAATGGTGGCACATGTATTGATACATACAACGGATTCATTTGCAAGTGTCCGTCCACTTGGGAGGTATGTCCTATAGGTATGTAGAGCATAGAAAGTAATGAATAACTTCTAGGGAGTGACGTGTGAGACGGATGTGAACGAGTGTTTGCGGTTTGTGGGCACAGAGTTGGGCTGTCAGAATGAGGCCACCTGTGAGAACACCCCCGGAAGCTATCGGTGCAACTGTAAGGCCAACTGGTATGGCATTCACTGCACTGAACAACACGATGACTGCTCGTCGGCCTCTAACGAAGCCCTTTGCGGTCACGGGACGTGTCTTAACCAACAGAGACATATCGCCGGTTTACCCAATTATCGGTGCATTTGTGATCAGGTGCCCAACGCTTCTCCATTCTTTGAGTTATAATATACTGAATCCATTGTTTTAACTTTGGTCCATAGGGTTGGACTTTTAATGCTAACAGTCCAGCCTGTGTTGTAGACATAGACGAGTGCACAGATAAAAGGCCTCATTGCTCAGCAAACCCGCCGGTCACGTGCATAAATCTGCCTGGCACTTTTTATTGCGGTCCCTGTCCTCCTGGGTTTACTGGAAATGGCTATTATTGTCATGACATCAATGAATGCGAGACAAACAACGGCGGCTGTTCTCAGTCACCACGAGTTCAATGCGTTAATACTGTCGGCTCAAGAATATGCTCTTCGTGTCCGCCCGGATATAACGGGAACGGTATGTTCAGACTTACTTGTTAGCTAATGTTAATTAAAAAAAATTGATTTTAAAATTCTTAATATTAGGCATAACTTGTGAATTTGTGGGCACCTGTCGTATGAACAATGGTGGGTGTCATCCCTCTGCCCAATGCTTTGAAAATATGGCCATTTCTTCGGCGTTCAGAGAGTGCAGGTGTCCGGCCGGTTATGTGGGCAGTGGTGTTGGACCTAATGGCTGTGTCGCCCAGAGTGGAACCAATTGCAATAGTAGTCCTTGCGTTCATGGCTCATGTATCACAAGCGGAAATACCTTTTCATGTATTTGTAGTCAAGGATATACGGGAACTCTTTGCGACCAAGAAATCAACGAATGTCTACCTAATCCGTGCCAAAACGGGGGCACCTGTACTGACCAACAAAATGGATTTCTATGTGTTTGTACCGATCGATGGCAGGGAAATACATGTTCAGATCCGCGACAGACATGTGGCGGTGCTTTGAATGCAGAAGCGGGATCTCTGAGTTTCCCGAGCGATATCTATACCAGTTATCCGAATCGAGTCAGTTGTGCCTGGATTATGACCACAACTGTAGGCAAAGTCCTAAATGTAACGTTTCGTTCGTTTAATGTCGAGTCGACGGTTGACTGTTCTTATGATTTCCTGCAAATACATGACGGCCCTAATGCCGGCGCTCACAATTTGGGTCGTTTTTGTGGCAACAACTTACCCAAAGGGGGAAACATAATCACAACTCATCATCAAATGTATTTGTGGTTTAAATCCGATCATTCAGTTACACACGAAGGCTTCCGTTTGGAGTGGAATACAACTGATCCAGGTTTGCACCAACTTAATCAATAGTTTTGTTTTCATTGATAACTCATAAATTGTATTTTTTCTCATAGTTTGCGGCGGAGAGCTGGCAGAGAAAGAATATGGATCATTCAATTCTCCTGGTTATCCCGGTAAATACGCCCACAATAGGGATTGTTATTGGTTAGTACGGGTGCCATTGGGTAAACGAATACAGTTCCACTTCGCAACTCTTCAAATCGAGACACATCCAGACTGTGGTTATGATTATTTGGAGGTATTTGATGGGCAACGAGATGCCGACGCACTTCTTGGGAAGTTCTGCAACTCATCGACACCTCCACCACTGATAAGCTCCGGTTCCTATGCGTTGATGCACTTCCATTCAGACGACTCTATGACAGACAATGGCTTTCATATAACATATGCTTCAGTGCCGGGAATACCCGGTTGTGGCGGAACACTCACTGCAGGTCTATATTCTGTGTTTTACTCAATCTATAAGTGATTTATTAATATTGAAACAACTTTTGCATACAGAGAAGGGATCGTTGAGTTCCCCTAATTTTCCCGACAAATACGAGAATAATGTGAACTGCGATTGGATTATAAGAGTTCATCCGTTGGAGAGAATTGAGATTAAATTCACCATTTTTGACCTAGAACATCACAGTAAATGTAATTATGATTACTTGGAGGTAAGGGAGGGCGACAACAGTGAAGCGCCGCTCATCAACAGACTCTGCGGCCAAGATATGCCCCGACCTGTCGTTTCCAAAGCAAATAAATTGTGGATTAAATTCAGAGCTGATTCCTCTTTTACGGGACAAGGATTTCGAGCTGAATATGTGAGTTACTGTATTATATTATACCATATTTTGAGTGTAATATAATTTAAACATTTCTTATCTAATAGTCGACAGTTTGTGGCGGACTGTACACGGGTTTGTGTTTTTACTATTGAACGTTTGGATATGTATTTAATATAGAAATGAATTTATAGATATGGAAGGAATAATAAAATCTCCATTTTTCCCGGATCCGTACCCTTCTGGCCGAAAATGTTTGTATCACATAATGCTTCCCATGGGAAGTCTGGTTCAGCTTAGTTTCCAACACTTTGATGTCGAGGGATCTATTGATTGCACGTATGATTATTTGGAAATTCGTGAGTCACACGAAAATGGCACAGAATTAGGTCGTTATTGTGGTGCAGTCACACCAGAAACTATCACTTCTAGATATAATGAATTGTTTCTTAAGTTTGGAACTGATGGATCAATTAGTAATCATGGATTTTACGCAAATTACAGTAGTATCGATATTGGATGTGGAGGTTTGTAAGCATTAGTATTGGTATTTATTTTCACTTCATGTTTAACTTAATTTAAAGGCGTTTTCACACAAAATCACGGCTCAATCGCGACCCCCAATCATCCAAACTTTTATCCGCATTCATCCAACTGTTCCTGGCTTATAAGGACAGACGTGGGGTTTGTTATTAGACTCACGTTTACAGTGTTTGCACTCGAAGACCATCGCACCTGTCGTTATGATTATGTTGAGGTCAGGGATTCAAATTATGCACTAATTGGCAGATATTGTGGCAGTCGACTGCCTCCGGCCCTCACCTCTACCGGCAATCAATTGTTTGTCGTCTTCAAGTCTGACCGCCGGAGAGCACAGGAAGGGTTTGCGGCCGCGTATTCTTTCCTCGATGTCACCCATTCTTGTGGCGGAAATTTCTTCACCGATTCCGGAACCATCAGATCTCCCGGTTATCCAAATGTTAATTATCCGCCACAAAGAGATTGTGTTTGGCTTCTGGAAGTAGATAACGGACGACAAATAGTTCTCAATGTCACACATTTTGAACTCGAAGGCGGTTCCGGTTGTCGTTATGATTACCTGGAGATCAGAAACGGAAGAGAAGAGAGGTCTCCACTAATCGGCAATTTCTGCGGACAAACAATTCCTCAGACAATTACATCACATGGTTTGACAAATAATTATTATCAATAAATTTTTTAATTATTTAATGAATAATGTTATAATTAATGTGTTGACTATGATATTCAGGACACGTTTTATATCTTCGCTTCAAATCTGACGGATCAATGAGTGCCAAAGGCTTTGAGATAACCTACGACAGCGGAACTACTGGCTGTGGAGGTATTCTCACCACTCAGTCGGGATCTATTGAAAGTCCTGGATATCCGCAACCATACGGACACAACGCGGAGTGTGTTTGGTTGATATCTGTGTCCAAAGGGTCGACCATTGCTCTAACTATGCCTGATATAGACATCGAGGCCCACAGTGTCTGTCGCTTTGATTATCTCGAAGTATTTGACGGCAACACTGATCGGTCGCCTTCTTTGGGCAAATATTGCAACACTCGACTCATTCCGCACTTCATTCAATCGAAATCTAATGTTTTGTATTTGAAGTTCAAAACCGATACATCAGAAACTGGCCGCGGATTTCGAGTTAATTACCGAATCAATTGCACGAATACTGTTTCCGGTTATAGGGGTGTCATTGAAAGTCCGGTAAGTTTAATATGAATGAGAGAGAAGCTAGTAACTAATAGTTCTAAACATGGACACAGAATTATCCTGAGGTATATAACCATAACGCCAACTGCACGTGGCGTATAAAAGCACCCCGGGGCAACAACATTACCATTGCTTTCTCCAGACTTTTCATCGAACCAGACCTAAACTGTCAGTTTGATTACCTCAAAGTGTCCAACTACAACCCCGATAACAACAATTTGACACAAATCGCCAAATATTGCGGGACAGGCAACCAATTGCCCGCACCTTTCAATACGACATCCAGCGATGCAATTATTAATTTTGTGAGCGATAGCTCTGTAGCCCATATAGGGTTCAGACTGGAATGGGTTAGTGTTGGCTGTGGCGGTGACTTCATTAACAAACTGTCCGGTGAAATAACTTCACCCAACTATCCCAACGGGTATCCACACAATACGGAATGTCTTTGGCACATACAGGCGTCCTCTGGATTTGCAATACAGCTCACTCTACAAACTTTCGATGTTGAGGGTGACAGTGGATGTAATTTCGATTATATGGATATTTATGGCGGTCCTGACGAGACATCACCATTGCTTTTACATCAGTGCCATCGACTATCAGATCCTAAAACTTATACATCAATGGGTCAGTCGATGACCATTAAGTTTAGAACTGATTGGTCGGTTAGAGGTACTTGTTGTCGAAAGTTAGCAATTATTTAGGGATTAATTATTTATTTGTTTTATACTTTAAATGACAAATAGGCAGAGGATTTATGGCAACATTTCAAGTGATTGGCGGTTCATGTAGTGGTCGGTTCACCACAGAGACGGGAACAATAACTTCACCCAATCATCCGATAAATTTTGACCCCAGAGATGATTGTGAATACAATATTGAAGTGAAAGGTCTTCACGACATTGAACTCACTATCGAAGATTTAGACATACAATCCGATATCAACTGTACTGAAGCTTATTTAGCAGTGTTTGACGGCTCACCTTCTGAGCCACTTTTAGCTAAATATTGTGGAAGTGTTGTTCCCACTGTTAATACTGTGAGAAGTACTGGAAATAAAGTTTATATGAGAATGAAAGGCAATGGAGTGAAAAGTGGCAAAGGTTTGACCCATTGATACATTTATAGCTTATATTATTATACCGGTCATTATAATTAACTTTTACTATCAATTGTTTGCGAAAAGGATTTAAAATATCGTACAAAACAAAGTGCGGCGGAAGGAAAGTATTGAACGCCAACGAAGTGGGAGAACTAACTTCACCCAACTTTCCCCACCACTCCATTGTGAACATCAACTGTCACTGGACTCTAATCGCGTCTAAGCCCGAAGAGCACATTACCCTCACGTTTACCCGCATCGATATAACTGAGTCCCAGAACTGTGACCTCCATTACGTCGAAGTCAGAGACGGTGACTCCGGCGGTGGCACCGATTTGGCCGCCTCTCCACTCATTGGCAAATACTGTGGCGAAAGAATACCGGCGCCCATCACATCACAGGGCAATTCACTTTATATAACCAACTCATTCGTCCACTTTTAGCTAAATATTGTGGAAGTGTTGTTCCCACTGTTAATACTGTGAGAAGTACTGGAAATAAAGTTTATATGAGAATGAAAGGCAATGGAGTGAAAAGTGGCAAAGGTTTGACCCATTGATTCATTGATAACTTATATTATTATATCGATAATTATAATTAACTTTTACTATAAATTGTTTGCGAAAAGGATTTAAAATATCGTACAAAACAAAGTGCGGCGGAAGGAAAGTATTGAACTCCAACGAAGTGGGAGAACTAACTTCACCCAACTTTCCCCACCACTCCGTTGTGAACATCAACTGTCACTGGACTCTAATCGCGTCTAAGCCCGAAGAGCACATTACCCTCACGTTTACCCGCATCGATATAACTGAGTCCCAGAACTGTGACCTCCATTACGTCGAAGTGAGAGACGGTGACTCCGGCGGTGGCACCGATTTGGCCGCCTCTCCACTCATTGGCAAATACTGTGGCGAAAGAATACCGGCGCCCATCACATCACAGGGCAATTCACTTTATATAACCAACTCATTCGGTCTCTTTAGGGCCACTTTCGCCACTTCCACGTCAGTCTGTGGCGGCGACATCACATCACAAGAGGGCATCTTTCAATCACCCGTTAGTTTGCATTCTTCTTAAACGTGTATTAATTGTTATTTTTGTCAAAAGGATTATCCAAACAGTTATCCATTAGAAAGCGAGTGTATTTGGATAATACGTTCGGCGCCCGGAAATAGGGTTACCTTTAACTTCATGTCATTTAACTTAGAAGAGAGTGAATACTGTAATACAGATTACGTTGAACTCAGGGAACGGGAATCAAGTGGTCCGTTACTGGGCAGATATTGTGGTCGACAGGTGCCCACTTTGAATTTCACATCAACCCATGTACTCTGGGTTAAATTTCGATCGGATCAGTCGGGAACAGCGCCCGGATTTCAGGCCTCATATGCTTTAGAGCACGGAATAGATGTGATCGGCTCTACCGGAGAGATCGCATCTCCAGGTTTTGATTTTTACATCAATCGATGGGACTTTTATTAATAGAAAATGTTTTGTAATAATTAGGTTATCCTCACGACGTCAGGCCTCAAGATGCAGTGTTTTCGTGGACCATTACTGTGCCTCCAAATAAATATATAAGCATTACTTTCACAGAATTAGCCCTTTCCTCATCATCTGGTACTTGCAGTTCATATGTTGCTGTTATGGATGGCATTGGAGAAGGGGCTCCAGAACTGGGCCGGTATTGTGGTTACACAGCACCCGATGCTGTTGTCGGTAATGGGAATGCAATGACCATTAACTTTGTGATGACTACAGGAATGCCCGGAAAGTTCTTTTTGGTGTGGAATGCCGTCAATGAGACGGTAGCCATATCTCTGAAGAAACCGTTGGTCACCTCAACGAGTAACACATCATTTGATATAATGCTCAACAAAAACGCTACGTATAGACTTACAAGTCCTGGATATCCTAACGGTTGGCATGTTTTTATAGAAATTTTTAATACGGAATATTAGTTATTGTAAGTTATTTATAGTTATTTATTTATAAATTCTCTTAATATTAAAGGCTATGGAAACAGACTGAACTATAACTGGACTTTTCAGACTATACAGTCATATCATTTCAAGATTAATATAACAAACTTCAATCTCGGGGGCAGTAATAGGAGTTGTTATTACGATAGAGTACAACTACTGGTGCCTCGAAACAGATTGGCCTCCATTTGGGCCACCAATAAGACAATATGTGGCCGATATAGCGGATCCATAGAATTGCCTAAATTACATATAATGAGAATCAATTTCTTGACGGATTGGTATTATAACTCCACCGGATTTGATATGACTATATATCCTGCTTGTGGCGGATTGTTATACGGTTCCAGTGGCTACATTAGCACCGATGATATTGCTAATGAAATACAGTGCGAATGGACTATAATAGTGAGACACGACCGCACCATTCAATTGACGTTTGAATCGATTAATATTGCGGACAATAGTAACTGTCAGTACTCTTACTTAATGTTGAAAAATGGAGGCCGAAAATGGTCACCCCCTCTGGGAGGGGGGCGCTATTGTGGCCGAACTATTCCAACCATTCCTGAGAGCTCTTCTAATCTAATTAGGGTTGAGTTCTATGCCCGAAGAGATCTGCATGCAGTCAGTAGTTATTATAAATGTTATTTGTACAAGGTATTTGTCTGTAATAAATAACTAATCTATTGAACAGGACTTCCGTTTGCGTTACAACGAAGTATCGGTCGGTTGCGGTGATTACATAACCTTAACTCAAACCAATAGAAGTATTGAAATAATGTCTCCAAATTACCCACAATTACCACCGCATAGACTGGAATGCGATTGGGTTATCATGAGTCCCACTAATACTAACATCAGATTTGATTTTGTCTTTCATCAAAACCCTTCGTTAGTGTCCACACAAATAGACAATTGATTTGATTTAAAGTATTATTAATTAAGTTTTTAAAAATGTATTTCAGGTGGAGATGTAATAAAACGCTGGAGTTTGTAGAGATAAGAGACGGCGGGACAGCCGTTTCCACTCTAATCGACAAATACTGTGTCCCGCCCTCACTGGCCAACACTATCCGAAGTTCAGGCAATTATATGTTCATCCGATTTGTTACGTCTAATTCGGAACAGTTGGTCAACTTTAAGGCTAAGATAGAAATAAGCGATTGCGGCGGTACTTATGTGGTGCCATACTTCCAGGAGCTCAGTTTCCCCAATTATCCTAATAATTATACCGATAATATGCAATGCAATTACTATTTAAGATCGCATTATACCAGTAGTTATTTTGATGTTAATATCACTGCTATGGATATTATTTCAAATGTTGATTGTACTGAAGGTAATTGTTCTTGATTAATCATTATTATCATAAACCTGTCATTCATTACAAATAATAGGAGATTACGTGGAGTTCCGAGAAGAGAGTCCTACCGGTGAACTCATTGGACGCTATTGTGGTTTGGCTGATGAAAACAATACGATTTCACTGAAATCCAAGGGATCTATCGTTTATATATCATTTAAAAGCGATATTTCAAACTGTCCTTTTCCTAAATTTAATAGCCAATTCTGCAGAATATGGTCTACACCACGATGATAACTATTGCGCCAATTATTCCCCTATTATTGCTCGGGATTGAAAGGTCTACCACAAGTTCTGCCGTCATATTGCATGTGGTATATGTTTGCACCGGCGGGTCGGAGTCTGAAATTGACATTTTTAGATTATAATCTGAAAGTGGATCCCAGAAATGCCAGCATTTGTTTGGATCGGATGAAGGTTTTATAATTGGATTAGCAATCTTTGGATTTGTATTAATTGTTTGTTTGCAGATAAATAAAGGCAGTTATTCTTCATCACAATATACACCTCCCTGTGGGACAACACTTCCCGAACCCATTCAAACCCAGAGTCATGTTTTGCTTCTTAGTCTTTACTCCTCGAGTTTGGCTGCGAGAGAGGGCTTTAAACTTGAATACAGTGCTGATGAAGAAGAGGGTATGGCTTATGGTTTAATGAGATTGTATTCAATACTTTTAATTAATTTAAAACATTATCTTTATGTTTGCGTTCATTATATGGATAGTGTGCGGAGGACTCCTATCTGGAAGTTCGGGTTCAATCAGTTCATATAGATTTGGAGAATCAAATTTCACGGACCAAATAGATTGTGTCTGGGATATAGACGTGCCATCGGACAGCCCTAACTATACGGTTGCCTTTAGTTTCGATGTTTTTGAAATACCTGAGACCCCGTCCTGTAGAAACAGTTCACTTCGATTTGAATATTTTAATAGTAAGTCTGTTTTGTTTCTTATAATTATTGTCAAAATAAACCCAATTTATTCCTCCGCATCAGATCGCTATCGATATTTCTATCACTTTTATAACAATTTTTGCGGAAATAAGACCAAAGACGGGAAGAAATTTGAATTTTTTGCACCGAATAAGGAACAGAATTCGTACGGATTTCCCAAACTATTTCTGACCACAAACTATAGCAACGGTTTTCGGGGAATAAGTGGTAAATACTTCATCCAAGAGTGCGGTGGTTTCGTATTTAATCCGGACGGGGAGTACACTTCACCCAATTATCCCCAGAGTTTTCCCATTGACTCGTACTGTGTTTGGGATTTTTGGGTGGATTGGGGCCAACAAATGAGAATCACTTTCACTGATTTCAATTTGGGTACCGATTGTGAACGCGATTACGTCCAGGTGTCACAGGGCTACTGGGCTGACTCGCCCACCACCGACAAGTACTGTGGAAATACAGTGCCTCCAGAAATTCACTCAACGGTCAATAAAATGAAAGTTGTGTTCAAAGGGACAGCAAGTAGTGCACCTTAGCGGTCTGCCAAGTTCTACATGCAGGCCTTCCATCTCGTGCCCACGCCTCCGGAATACTACTTGGGTTACCGAGTGTAGGTCAGTAATTTGATACCGGTTGCTATGCTATTGTTGCAACTGTGCATTTGGACCATACAAATGCCCGTTAGTTATCACGTGAACTTCACTTTCGTTGATCGCTTTGACATCGAAAAGACAGACAATTGTGATAACGATTACATCCTATTTGAGGAACAGTTAACTACTGATGACAACAATTGGTCACAAATTGGTAAATATTGTGGTCACGACAGACCGACTCAATTCAAGTCCCGCACCAACAAAGTTAGGGTCACTTTTCATACCAATGATAATGTAAACGGCGATGGATTTAAACTCCTTTACCAAATAGCGTGCGGAGAGGTGTATACGGCACCGACCGGTGTCTTAATGAGTCCTAATTACCCGAATAACTACAATAACTTTATTCGTTGCGAATATCTTATTCTTCGCGGTCCTAAAGATTATATTAGACTTGAATTTGAAGATGACTTTAATGTTGAGTTTAATAGAGAGTGTTATTGGGATGCCGTCGATATCTACTTAGGCAACAGTACCAGTGCCACACATCAGGGCAAATACTGTGGTATAGAGAAACCACCTGTCACCATTTCAAATTCCGCACTTTTAGTTACCTTCAAAACTGATTCAAGTTTTGTGACCAAAGGATTCAAAGCCTCGTATTCTGTAACTTCTTGTGGCGGTAATTATACGGACGACTCGGGAGAGATATATAACCCTCCTTACGCTAATTATCGGAGCATGAATTGCATCTGGCTCATAACCGTCAGTGATAATCGTGTCATTGAATTGACGTTCAGTAAAATCAGTTTCACAAACAGTTATAACTGCTATTACGATAAGATTGAGATCAGAGACGGTGTCAATAGTACAGCCCCTTTGATTGGAAAGTATTGCGATACTATCAGAGATACAGGTGCTATTGTCAAGTCTACCGGGAATCAATTGTGGGTCTATTTCCGATTGAGTGGCTATTATACAGCTCAAGTAGACAATGGCTTTAGGTTTGGCTACAGAGCCACTCTGGGAGAGGACCAGGGGTGTGGGGGTGTCTTCCATAATGTCACTCAGGGCTACATCGAGTCACCAGACATTGACAACGACGGCAAGTATGAACTGGATCTCAATTGTTGGTATCACTTCATTATGCCTGAAGACAAAGTCGTGAAGTTTACCTTTGAAAAGATGGATCTCGAGGACAGTCCCGCGAATGGCACCAAATGTGCCTTTGATTTCATAGAAGTCAGAGACGGACTCTCACACAAGAGTCCACTAATTGATCGCTACTGCGGCACAACTCTTCCCAACCCTATAATCGGATGTAGTTTATTTAACCAAGAAGTCAAGAAGAGGCTGTCGGCACTTCACTTCTGCCCTAAATTCCAATTCATACTCAGCTAGCTGTCTTATACGCCGCCAAAGAACTTACGTTGTTTACAATGTGTTTACCTATCATCAGTCAATTACCCGAATGGATATCCGTCGGGATTGCGCTGTAAATGGCACTTCACTTTCGACCGATGGACTTTCAGATACTGGTCGATCACTATTCGCATCAAATTTAATGATTTGGACATTAATTGCAATAATAATGACTACATTGAGTTCACGGCCGACACCTACACTACTCATAGAATAGAACCGTACAGAATGTGTGGCATCAAAGCCCCGCCCGCTATCGTCTCCAAGAGAGGGCTATGGATGACATTTGTCACGAATACAGTTCCCGCTGTTAATCATAAGGGCTTTTCACTAAACTATACTTTCTCGGCCTGTAATCAAACTTATAGTGACGACTCCGGACTAATAATGAACACCAGATATCCAGATTATACCGATACGTACCCATATAGACGATATTGTCGGATGAATATTACGGCAAAAGTTGGCTCCACTATTGCTCTATATTTTAATGATTTCAGAATATATACGCCCGAAAACAGATTGGGATGTCCTTACGGTAATATGACTGTTAGGGACGGCATAGACGCAAATTCGCCTACACTTAAGACATTGTGCGGAAACTCAGTGCCCGACCCTATCTTCTCGACTGGCAATAAAGTATCCATCGATTTGTTGGGCTATAGTTCAAAGTTCTTCATTTCGTACACAACTACAAGTGCTGGTCGTGGATGTGGTGAGAATACTGATTATCATTTTAATTGTTATAATAAATAAATTTATTATTATTTAAAAGCATAATTTCTATATGATTATAATTAGTTCTTGTTTATTAATATATCTGCATATTATGTCCCCTAAGGTGGGAACCTGACCTCATTCAACGGCACATTCACGAGTCCTTTATACCCGATGCCATACAACAGGAGCACTGAATGCAAATGGTTTGTCCACTCGTTTGGATTGCATTCACTGACCCTTACATTCACTGACTTCTCGCTGTCGTCCACTATTGGCTGCCAAACCAATTATGTTGAGGTCTATGAGGGCACTCAAGACATACCTACCAATCGTCTCACTCGTATTTGCGGTGATGTATGTTATCGGCCATACTTTGCGTCTAATTGTGTTAATGCATGACATGTCTGTCTTCAGGACAATCCGTCGTCCATCCGAAGTGAGGGAAATGTATTACTCGTCAAATTAGTGACCCATACCAACAACACTGGAACTGGATTTAGAGCCAGATTCCATTTCAATAGTCTCGGTATTAATTTGCTTCTTGTTTTGACAATTTGTTCATTTTATACAATAATTATTGAATATCTCCCAGAATTGAATGCAACCAAACAAATAATGACAGCCAATCTTCGGCCGCACATTACTTCCGACGGTTCCGTTTATTTCCCTTCGGATGGCATTATGTTTAGAAACAATAATTAATATATATTTATATTTTCAATTAAAATGTATTTTATTAATCATTAATAATGTTTGGATTTGTATTTAGGTGCCTACAAATAAAAAAGCATAATCATTTTCCATCTAATTGATGACAAGTTATTAATTGTTAAAGTGTCTGAAAAATCTGAGAAAGTGAGATAATAAACTATAATATTAGACAATCATACTATAATGATAGTATTATGTAAAATTATTATTAGGCTTTAAATTGAGGTACAATTTTATACATGCATTGTCGCAAACCTTTGCAAATGTTAAATACAGCATTCATTGACAGCATTTTACTAATTAATGTGGAGTTCTGTCTCAATGCATATTTAAATGATTTTTGCGGAACAATCTCTAAACGATCTAAACTTGAAATTTATATCTAATTAAGTAAATGTTTTTATAATATTTATGTAATAATTGTCATTATTTTGTATATCTTAAGTCTAAATGAAAATAATTACTTTTTAATAATTCTTTATTTTTATTTATTATTGTATGCTTTCATCTCTTGGAATAACATTTAAAAAAAATAAATTTAAGGTTATATTATATAAGTTATATAATATTACTGCAATTATTATCATCCTCTTAATTTTGACATAACCTATCATTGAATTATTAAATTTTGAAACAAGGAGTTGAGTAAATCTATTATGACTACTTTTTCAACCGAAAATAATTTCTATATTTTAAAATAAATCTAAAATTTATTATAAACTATTTATTATCAAAATTATATACTCAGGTAAGTTAATTGCAATGATGTATTTATACAGCGTGTGAATGTAATTTAAAAGTCTAGCTTTTGATTTATTAATTAAAAAAAGAAACAAAAATACAATGAAAGATGTTATATAACTAATGGAATATTTTAATAGACAAGGTCATATATGTGATAATTGAATGGGCTTTTACAATTATGAATAAGGTCGGTTTTTCGCATAAAAACATTTAAACTTAATAATTATAATGTCTATTTGATTACCAGTTGGTTCTAGATATTAAATATCAATAAAAATTTATTATTCTCAATAAATATTTAATATGTAATAATAATGTAATAATATATAAATTAAAAAGCATAACTTAATGTAGCTTAAAACTTAAAATGTTTTTAAAATTCTCATCAAATAATTAATTAATTTTATGCTATTGTCTCTTAATTTAATGATTGTGTAAATGATATCTTATATAATTATAAACTAATTTAAGCTAATATTAGTAATAAATGCAGAGAAGATTACATATATTTAACTTTTATTTCATGCAATCGATAATAATTTTGACAAATGTTATCTAAAAGTAATAATAAATTTTATCATTTACAAATCTAACATTTAAAGACTTACTTAGTTAAATAAAACATATTTTGCTTTACATACTATAAACATAGATCTAATACACAAATATAGATAATATTTTGAGGATTTTAAAGACATCTCTGAATTTAATTATTTCAATTATAAGAGCAAACTATTGATTTTTACAGATTATACAATTATAGATAAAATTATGTATTCATAACAATAACTTAGTTATTACGACCTAATATCTGAATGAAATAATTGATTAATTATATAGAAAACATTTTACATCATTTAAATCAAGATTTGTGTGATTACTTTTCAGTACCTCTACTGAATTATTACCTAACACATGTTTCATACAATCACTACCTCTTTCTAATAATATACCTAATATTTGAAAGCTATAGTGCCATAGCAAAAATATTAACTCTTTCTCATTATTATATTTACTTGTATTGTTTTAAAAGGCAATTTCACTTTAAAATCATACAAATAATATTTAAATTGAAAGAATCTTTTTAAATCATAATGTCTTTTGGATTTAAGACAATTATATAACTAATGGACAACTTTGTAATGGATTTATCGGTTATTAATTCTGACTTGACAGGAAAAGGATTTAAATTATCGGTTAAGACGTCTTATACCAGATGTGGTGCTACTATTGATAACGCGGTTAATAAGGGGATAATAACGAGCCCTAACTTTCCAGATGGTGTTCAAGACGGCAGTTATTGCATGTGGTATATGTTTGCACCGGTGGGTCGGAGTCTGAAATTGACATTTTTAGATTATAATCTGAAAGTGGATCCCAGGAATGCCAGCATTTGTTTGGATCGGATAAAGGTTTTATAATTGGATTAGCAATCTTTGGATTTGTATTAATTGTTTGTTTGCAGATAAATAAAGGCAGTTATCATTCATCACAATATACACCTCCATGTGGGACAACACTTCCCGAACCCATTCAAACCCAGAGTCATGTTTTGCTTCTTAACCTTTACTCCGCGAGTTTGGCCGCGAGAGAAGGCTTTAAACTTGAATACAGTGCTGATGAAGAAGAGGGTATGGCTTATGGTTTAATGAGATTGTATTCAATACTTTTAATTCATTTAAAACATTATCTTTATGTTTGTGTTCATTATATGGATAGTGTGCGGAGGACTCCTATCTGGAAGTTCGGGTTCAATCAGTTCATATAGATTTGGAGAATCAAATTTCACGGACCAAATAGATTGTGTCTGGGATGTAGACGTGCCATCGGACAGCCCTAACTATACCGTTGCCTTTAGTTTCGATGTTTTTGAAATACCTGAGACCCCGTCCTGTACAAACAGTTCACTTCGATTTGAATATTTTAATAGTAAGTCTGTTTTGTTTCTTATAATTATTGTCAAAATAAACCCAATTTATTCCTCCGCATCAGATCGCTATCGATATTTCTATTACTTTTATAACAATTTTTGCGGAAATAAGACCAAAGACGGGAAGAAATTTGAATTTTTTGCACCGAATAAGGAACAGAATTCGTTCGGATTTCCCAAACTATTTCTCACCACAAACTATAGCAACGGTTTTCGGGGAATAAGTGGCAAATACTTCATCCAAGAGTGCGGAGGTTTCGTATTTAATCCGGACGGGGAATACACTTCACCCAATTATCCCCAGAGTTATCCCATTGACTCGTACTGTGTTTGGGATTTTCGGGTGGATTGGGGCCAACAAATGAGAATCACTTTCACTGATTTCAATTTGGGTACCGATTGTGAACGCGATTACGTCCAGGTGTCACAGGGATACTGGGCTGACTCGCCCACCACCGACAAGTACTGTGGAAATACAGTGCCTCCAGAAATACACTCAACGGTCAATAAAATGAAAGTTGTGTTCAAAGGGACAGCAAGTAGTAGTGGAATCGCCAGACGGTTCAAGATGTACGTCCGGAAGGTAGAGCACGGGTGCGGAGGCCTTATGATGAACCCAATGGCTCACATCCAGTCATTAAACTATGGCCAACGATACGATAACAACGTTGAGTGCATTTGGACCATACAAATGCCCGTTAGTTATCACGTGAACTTCACTTTCGTTGATCGCTTTGACATCGAAAAGACAGACAATTGTGATAACGATTACATCCTATTTGAGGAACAGTTAACTACTGATGACAACAATTGGTCACAAATTGGTAAATATTGTGGTCACGACAGACCGACTCAATTCAAGTCCCGCACCAACAAAGTTAGGGTCACTTTTCATACCAATGATAATGTAAACGGCGATGGATTTAAACTCCTTTACCAAATAGCGTGCGGNGTCGATATCTACTTAGGCAACAGTACCAGTGCCACACATCAGGGCAAATACTGTGGTATAGAGAAACCACCTGTCACCATTTCAAATTCCGCACTTTTAGTTACCTTCAAAACTGATTCAAGTTTTGTGACCAAAGGATTCAAAGCCTCGTATTCTGTAACTTCTTGTGGCGGTAATTATACGGACGACTCGGGAGAGATATATAACCCTCCTTACGCTAATTATCGGAGCATGAATTGCATCTGGCTCATAACCGTCAGTGATAATCGTGTCATTGAATTGACGTTCAGTAAAATCAGTTTCACAAACAGTTATAACTGCTATTACGATAAGATTGAGATCAGAGACGGTGTCAATAGTACAGCCCCTTTGATTGGAAAGTATTGCGATACTATCAGAGATACAGGTGCTATTGTCAAGTCTACCGGGAATCAATTGTGGGTCTATTTCCGATTGAGTGGCTATTATACAGCTCAAGTAGACAATGGCTTTAGGTTTGGCTACAGAGCCACTCTGGGAGAGGACCAGGGGTGTGGGGGTGTCTTCCATAATGTCACTCAGGGCTACATCGAGTCACCAGACATTGACAACGACGGCAAGTATGAACTGGATCTCAATTGTTGGTATCACTTCATTATGCCTGAAGACAAAGTCGTGAAGTTTACCTTTGAAAAGATGGATCTCGAGGACAGTCCCGCGAATGGCACCAAATGTGCCTTTGATTTCATAGAAGTCAGAGACGGACTCTCACACAAGAGTCCACTAATTGATCGCTACTGCGGCACAACTCTTCCCAACCCTATAATCGGATCATCAAATAAATTGGTTCTTCAGTTCTTCTCCGACAGCCGTGAAGTGAAGACGGGATTTAAGGTTAAGTATGAGTCGATCGACAGAATATGCGGCGGTTTCTTGAATGCAACAAATGTTACACAAATGCTATCGTCAGTCAATTACCCCAATGGATATCCGTCGGGATTGCGCTGCAAATGGCACTTCACTTTCGACCGACGGATTTACAGCTACTGGTCGATCACTATTCGCATCAAATTTAATGATTTGGACATTAATTGCAATAATAATGACTACATTGAGTTCACGGCCGACACCTACACTACCCATAGAATAGAACCGTACAGAATGTGTGGCATCAAAGCCCCGCCCGCTATCGTCTCCAAGAGAGGGCTATGGATGACATTTGTCACGAATACAGTTCCCGCTGTCAATCATAAGGGCTTTTCACTAAACTATACTTTCTCGGCCTGTAATCAAACTTATAGTGACGACTCCGGACTAATAATTAACACCAGATATCCAGATTATACCTATGCGTACAGTTACACACGATTGTGTCGGATGAATATTACGGCCAAAGTTGGCTCCACTATTGCTCTCTATTTTAATGATTTCAGAATATATGCGTCCGAAAGCAGAATGGGATGTCCTTACGGTAATATGACTGTTAGGGACGGCATAGACGCCAATTCGCCCACACTTAAGACATTGTGCGGAAACTCAGTGCCCGACCCTATCTTCTCGACTGGCAATAAAGTATCCATCGATTTGTTGGGCTATAGTTCAAAGTTCTTCATTTCGTACACAACTACAAGTGCTGGTCGTGGATGTGGTGAGAATATTGTTCATCATTTCAATTGCTATAATAAATATTATGTCCCCTAAGGAGGGAACCTGACCTCATTCAACGGCACATTCACGAGTCCTTTATACCCGATGCCATACAACGGGAGCACTGAATGCAAATGGTTTGTCCACTCGTTTGGATTGCATTCACTGACCCTTACATTCACTGACTTCTCGCTGTCGTCCACTATTGGCTGCCAAACCAATTATGTTGAGGTCTATGAGGGCACTCAAGACATACCTACCAATCGTCTCACTCGTATTTGTGGTGATGTATGTTATCAGCCATACTTTGCGTCTATTGTGTTAATGCATGACATGTCTGTCTTCAGGACAATCCGTCGTCCATCCGAAGTGAGGGAAATGTATTACTCGTCAAATTAGTGACCCATACCAACAACACTGGGCCTGGATTTAGAGCCAGATTCCATTTCAATAGTCTCGGTATTTATTTGCTTCTTGTTCTCACAATTTGTTCATTTTATACAATAATTATTGAATATCTCCTAGAATTGAATGCAACCAAACAAATAATGACAGCCAATCTTCGACCGCACATTACTTCCGACGGTTCCGTTTATTTCCCTTCGGATGGCATTATGTTTAGAAACAATAATTAATATATATTTATATTTTCAATTAAAATCTATTTTATTAATCATTAATAATGTTTGGATTTGTATTTAGGTGCCTACAAATAAAAAAGCATAATCATTTTCTATCTAATTGATGACAAGTTATTAATTGTTAAAGTGTCTGAAAAATCTGAGAAAGTGAGATAATAAATTGTAATATTAGACAATCACACTATAATGATAGTATTATGCAAAATTATTATTAGGCATTAAATTGAGGTACAATTTTATACATGCATTGTCGCAAACCTTTGCAAATGTTAAATACATCATTCATTGGCAGCATTTTACTAATTAATGTGGAGTTCTGTCTCAATGCATATTTAAATGATTTTTGCGGAACAATCTCTAAACGATCTAAACTTGAAATTTATATCTAATTAAGTAAATGTTTAATAATGTTTATATAATAATTGTCATTATTTTGTATATCTTAAATCTAAATGAAAATAATTACTTTTTAATAATTTATTTTTATTTATTATTTTATGTGTACATCTCTTGGAATAACATTTTGTTAAAAATAAATTTAAGGTTATAACTTATTATATAAGTTATACAACATTACTGCAATTATTATCATCCTCTTAATTTTGTCTAACCTATCATTGAATTATTAAATTTTGAAACAAGGAGTTGAGTAAATCTATTATGACTACTTTTTCAACCGAAAATAATTTCTATATTTTAAAATAAATCTCAAATTTATTATAAACTATTTATTATCAAAATTATATACTCAGGTAAGTTAATTGCAATGATGTATTTATACAGCGTGTGAATGTAATTTAAAAGTCTAGCTTTTGATTTATCAATTAAAAAAAGAAACAAAAATACAATGAAAGATGATATATAACTAATGGAATATTTTAATAGACAAGGTCATATGTGTGATAATTGAATGGGCTTTTACAATTATGAATAAGGTCGGTTTTTCGCATAAAAACATTTAAACTTAATAATTATAATGTCTATTTGATTACCAGTTGGTTCTAGATATTAAATATCAATAAAAA